TGTCCATATACTGATACTTGGTTTAGAGATACTAAAAGCCAAAAAGGATTTGAGAAAAATTCTTTTTTATATGCTGCGTTCTTGGCTCCTTCATTTTCTTCTAGCAAGTTCTACTGTGTAGCATCTTAAAAAACCTCTTTACATGTTTTTACTTTGGAATCTTCAAGGATACTCATTAGCCAAAACAGAAAAATGCACGTATGCTTGGGCACCCAATCACAAGGGATCAGAAACTTAATTCACGCACATCATGAATTTGAAAATCAGCCCGTAAAGTACCTAATTTAGGTACGACCAACGGGAGTCGCTCGAAGAGGGGAGAGGGACTTCGTACCTCGGAACCGATAAAAGTCCCTGCTTGACTTAGATGTGTTAAACATATCGCTAATGGAAGAATGTTGAAAATCCTCTTAGGAGGGTGAAATTGGAGTTTTGATTTCTAGTAGTTAGCTAGCGAAGCGCAATCGCAGTTTCAAGCGAGCGAAGCGAAACCAAAAAGCCTATTCCGAAAGCCGTCTTTCCCAAAAATAGGGAGGCAAGGGTAGCACCTAGTAGCTGCGAGCCTAAGATCAAAGGCAGTTCCAAAAGCATGTTCAGACTTGTAATTGCTTACAATTAAATACAGCGTATACATAAGGTGGAAAGAATTCATGATCTTAGACTAAGGTAGCATAAAAAAATGAATTGAAATATATTAAAAGCAGATGAAAGGGATTGATGTGTACCTGGGCTATGTAATGAATGTAAGCTTCCTGTATGCTGCTCTTTTTAACGGAGGATGTTGCTCTTTTCCTGTAAGCTTCCTGTATGTTGATTTCAATTAGTAGATCCTCCACGTAAGGATAGCACAAAACGTAAAGGTATATGATGATTTATGAACCAATATATCCTCTTAAAATGTTTGATGCACAAAACAGTTAAAGAATTGAAGAAAAGGAAGCATAAATGATCCAGTTTCTTCTTGAAAATCAACATCAACATCATATTATATAGGAAAACCAGCCACTAATATTTCTCTTTTCTATTGGAAATCAATGCAAACTGAGATTGCTTTAAAAAATCAGTCCCTACAGCCTCTGTTTTATATTAAATCATTTTATTAGACAGCTGATTCGTTCCCAACGCACCATATGGCAGATTATCATTTGAGGTATGCATTTTTTAAATCTAACGAAACCTTCTAAGTTTATCATTTAGATACCTTAGTGCTGGCAGATACATGATAGTGAGTTACACTGGTCTTTGTGCTTACTTACAGGAATTCCCACTATTGGACATGGCCTCTCTGAGTACTGTTCTTGCTCAAGGCATGAACCGTAAGAAAAGGCACGAAGTAAGACATGGAATATTCTTATTATCATTCATATTTAAACTTCCTTTATTTACTCTTTTTTTCCTGGAGATATGCTATGCCTGGATGACATTGGAAATGTCTCACTATTGTTGTTTGCATGTTACTATGTGTTTTAACTTTTAAGTGATGGCAAATTGTGGCACAAATTACTGGTTATATCCAAGTATCATTGGACCTCCATCTCAAGGGGTAGCTGGCCAAAGAATATGTCTACAATCAGATGTTTGATATGTGCATCATTTTTAAAGCACAAATTTGGAGTATTAATTTCTTTAACAACAGCAACCCAGTTGATGTACTGCAATATGTAAAACTTTTGACTTACAATAGGACAATCAGTCATTGAACACATATGAAAAAGGATATTTTTTTGTTATTTTTTAGAAAGGAAACACACACATAGAGCTTGACTTCTCTAATTACCTTAAAAACAAAGTGCTCACCCATATTTACTACACACACTATATGCTTTCACTACTTGTGTATGAATTCACAA